TGGCTAGTACTACCCGCCCAGTTTTCTAGATGAATGAAACTTCTAAAATCGATCAATTGACCTATGCTCCTTCGGTTGCGATCGAAATTAATAGGGCGCAGAACAGGTCATGGCGAGATCCAGAATGACCTGCTGAGGGTCATAGAGTCTATTGCTTATATGCCTCTACCTCCCAGACAAGACAGGAGAATAGGAACGGCCAGCAAAACAGGCTGCTTCGAAGTGCAGTGCAGTGATAGTTAGGATGAAGATTAAGGTTACGGTTATAGTTTGGGTTAAGTTTAGCAAACGAAAATATTTTGTCTTTCGGGAATCAAGCGCCAAATCATCCGCAGTACGGTTTCTATTCCCGTGTCATGACCAGGGGGCCAATAAAAGCAATTCTGTCCTATATTTTTCCCATTACTTGTGCAATTCCAGGCGGAATTTTACCGAACAATGACTGGTTATTGTTTTACATGGAGCTACTCGGGAGCTGCGCAATGATTCAGAGTTAAAATAATTCAAAATAGGTAAATGTGGTATACTTAGTGAACTGACTATACCCCGAACTCAGGTACTAAATAAAGTTTGAAATTTCGCTTCATGGACGGTCCTGCTGCTGCATTTGGCAACTCAATTGATATTATAACACAATGACACTTCACGGTGGTCAAGTGATTCGCCGATCGAATTATTGATTTTATTTTCCATCCTCTCTACTGTGACTTAATGATCACGAAGTTCTCCCGTGCCATGCGTTGAGGCTACCGACAGATGTGTTAGCGCACATCGGCCTATCAGTGTTATGTATTGCCATTTCTAGCAAACTATCTCACTCGTAAGGAGACTAAAATACAGAAACTGGTATTGGAAATGTCTCCCCAATCCATGTGAATTTTATTTAAACCTTTTGATTCTTGCTTAGTTTGCTAATTTGTCCACTGTTCTCGGTGAATGAAGCCATTTTTGCTGATATTTGGATGCTGTTTTCAAAATAAAACGTACTTCTCCCTCCCTTTCTCTCTGTTACTAATTTTTGGTTCGTCCGCTGAAGCTGACTACAGTGGACTCAGCTATTCATATAAATTGTGGTGTCGAGTCAAGGAAGCCATGTCCTGAAGACTTAGTCTAGTCCCCATATTAATTGCTGATTAAAGTATACACTTTAAGTGTTACTTAATAAACATAAGTACAATGTATCTTGTCGTCTTTTTTCCAGCATTTTCAAAGTTCCAGAATCTACCAGCATTCTTCGACACTAGCTTGAAATCCGACGCCAGTCTTATATTTGTGATGTTTGAGGCAATGAGCATGGCCCTTCTTGGCTGCCATGCTGTGCCGATGCGGATAAAGATTCTCTTGGACAGAATCTGGTCAGTTAGCCGTTTGCAGGTGGATTTGACGCCGTTCCTCCTATCATTTGGCTGGACTCTACAAGATTACAGTCGTGGATACATGCTTACGGTAAGACACTGTAATTACTAAACTACCTTTTATACCGACCGAAATTCACAACAGACTGCTGCTAATCACGAATAAGACTTTAACCGAGCGTACATTTTTGCAACTACCTTGAATTATAACGCGTCATGTGATTGGGAAATTGTGGCTGTCGTAAAACGCTCATGGTTTAAAACTAGTGCGATTAAATTTAACGGCCGTTAATAAGAACTGCTTTCAGATTGCGAGACAGGCCGTCCACGGGCAAAATTTACGGTCTTGCACCATCGTAGTGGCTGATGGAGGCAGCTGCTACGTCTCTGTTCCCACTCTTGGCATTTTTCGACCGCAATGCATTTACCAGTATATCGTGGGAAATGAAAGCTCGGAAGCACGTTGCAGATCAAAGCTCCGCGACATTAGGTAGTGACCGTGGGATTGAGAGGTAGATTTAATGTGAAGTGCACTGCCAAAAAATATTCAATACAAAGGAGGTACAAAAACTATTTAAAAAATGTAGAATCATACCTTGTTTTCGTGATAGCAGTTCGGTGCTTTACGGACGTTTGGGTCCGGTTTATCAAACCTCGTTCGGATTCCAAATAACATTTAGTAGGCAAAACATAGAACCAGAGTAAAATATCCGTTAGTGACATTACATGACCTTTTCTGATGTTTTATGCTGACAGTACGAGAGATCAATTTAGTCATGTATACGGCCAAGTTGTCTAACTTCTAATTTCATTTGACCGTAGGACCACAAGGGCCAACTTCGCGATCGTTGGGCCTGCTGCCGTATAGACGAGGAAGCTCTTATTATCCAGCAGTTTCTCCGATTTCTCGAAACTCGTCACCTAGCCTACGATATGCTCGTCACCCTAGAGGCCGATGTTAACGCGTCTGGGATAACAGGCAACTGTGCAACTCCCTACTCCACCTTGACTTCAACTTTAAATCCGACCAAACAAGGCCCACCAACCAACTGGCCCGGCATCTCCATCCCTAGTAAACGAAGTCCCAATTCACAATTCGGTCTCTCAGACCTCAAGCATGAAAACTTGCAGGGCAAGTCCACGGTCCCAGGAGGTCCCAATTCCGTCCTAGCACTATCCTCCGCCCCTTCCGCGTCT